CAAAGGAGTTTGTCAGGCCTGGGGTGCGGGAGTTGTTGGTTTCACCGCAGTAGGTAGGTATCTGGGCAAGCACCCCATTTGTCACCTACCTTCCCCACCTGCCCAATAAGCTAGAAGATGTTGGCATTGGTGAGATTTTTTTTTTTTTTTTTGCCACTAGTGAAATATTCTGGCAATGGGGTGTAGCATTTTTTTCTCTTTTCAAATTTGTGATGAATTAGAGCCACATTCTTCCATGAAACTGGCCTAATCATACCTCCAACTAGATGATCTCTGTGAAGTAATTTGAAAAACTGGAATTCCTCATCATCACTGTAAAAAATAATTAAAAATAAAAGCAACTGGAATATTCTGAAAGTGGGGTTGGAGGGAAGCATTCCTTTTCTCTTTCCTAATACGAGTGCACAGGCATCGTGTTGATCTGCTGGCTCAGAGCGGTGGTTCTCAACCCTGGCTGGCACTCAGAACCCCTGTGAAACTTTAGAGAAAATATTGTTTCCCTGGCCCTGCCTTTACCCACTGGATTAGAACCTTCAGGGGTTGGTAGGGGTGCATTTTGGTACAGGAATCTGTACTTTTAAAAATCTCCCTACAAGATCCTGTTCATTAGCCGTTTTGGGAGAAGTACTGGTTTGGTGTAGGTGACGAATCCAGCTCAGGTTGTCCCTCTGTGGCTTTTATTGCACTCCGTGGCTTGTGAGTTACTGAATCACTTATGAATTCCGAGTTTTCTCATTGCATGTAATTGCTAAATGGAGAATTTTCCACCTGAAAGCCCCCAACTGTATTGAAACCAACCCCAGATATATCCTAGGATACATTTTCTCTGGGGCTCAGCCAATACAGATTAATTAATTGTTGTGGGAAGAAAGAAAACATACTACCTCACCTCAGCACTGGAATATTAATTGATTAATCAAGAGAAATCGGAATATTACCATGTTCAACACAAACCACACCCTTTGCTCAACAAGCCACAAAAAACACCATTTTCCAAGAACCCAGGAAGTTCAGTGTCCTAGAACCGGGACTGTGCTGTCCACAAAGCAGTGGGCAGGTGTTACCTAGACAGGAAGACTCAACCGGGGGCTAGATGTGTCGAGAGAAGGGAAAAACAGTGACTCACAGGCCCCAAACAGTGACTCACAGACTCACCCAGGTTCTCAGTGCTTTCAGCAACATTTATTATTTCCACTTTTTGCGTCAATACGTTGGATGGAGGGAAAACACCAGACAACAATGCCTAACATCATAAGAAAATAACATGACATTAAAAGGCGTATAACGTATAAAGACTACATCAGATGTCTCTGTATTATTTCTTATTACTGCATGTGAATCCACAGTTACACCAAAAAAAGTTTTTAAGAAGAAATGTGTGTGCGTTCAGAGGTATTTATTTGTGTATGGATGAGGCATACAAAACTTTTTGTCCTTCCCTTTCCCCACCCACCTTCCTCTGTATGTGGATGTCTAGGATGCATGTGGAAAATCTTCAAACAGTGCAGTGCTTGGGGTGCAGGGGCAATGAAGGGCTGTGAATTGTCTGATATCACAGCTGCCCTCTATTGAAGAGTTTCTTTGAGCCACAGGGACTTCGCTAAGCTCCCTATATTCATTATCTCATTTAATTCTTACGAGGGTCTTGCACCTAAATAGTATTATCCCATTTTACAGATGAGGAAATGAAAGCTTAGTGAGGTTAAGCTATGTAACATAGGTCACAACAGGCTACAAATGGTGGAGTAGGATTTGAACTTAAGTCAAACGTTGAAGTCCATGCTTTCTTGGTTTTACCTACTACCCCATCTGTAAGGTGATGGGAATCGTACCTACTGGCATCAAATCAAGTGTTTTTGTCTGACTGAGCTGCTTTAGAAGAAACTATTGACTCCAGAAATGATTCAGAATTCTCATGCCCCCCCAAAATATATATATTTTTAAAAAGAACTAACCAGCTATATAGACTATTAGGAACCTGGAATTTCAAGGTTAGGAGTCCAACCTCTTATTTAGTGTGAAATCATCTTCTGAAAATGCAGTATATTCTAATTATGAGAAAGTACTTTCTTATATGGAACTGAAATTTGCTTGCCTCTTAGATCTAACAAAAAATAAGCCTCTCTACACAAAACAAGGCTTTTCTATAAAGCTGCAATGAGAGAAGCATGAGACAGCCTGTCCTTTTCAAGCCAGACATTTCCAGTTCTTTTTCAATCATATGGCATTTGACATTACTTTGAGAATCTTGATTATATTCCTTGGACATACTCCAATTACTCAATATCTCCTCTTAAATTGTGGTCTTCCAGACTTGAGGCAGTGCTACGGAGGTGGTCTGACCTAGATGGAAAGCACTTTTTCTGAACATAATACTTTAACAATGGAATGGCAGGCAGTGGCTGTACTTCATAGATATGGAAGGAATCAAGAAATCTTGCTTCTAGGAATCTGACTTTAGACTTCAGGTCTACAGGAAATGCAGTAGTGAAATGCATTGCTGTACATGTCTGGGCCCACCCAGGGAGAGTATGGGATTTCCTGCGGAAATTCCTATCCGCCATAAACTCAAAGAATTATTTGCTTTGCAAGGTCAGAGTCCAATGTTTCCCTTTTGCTAACTGATGAAATTACTCAAGCCCATGCTAGGGTTGTGTAATAGGTAGGGAGTGGTCATCCACCTGAAGGAGATGGGAAATTATAAGTACCTACCTGAACTTGGCTCCTAGCTGAAGGGTCAAGAAGGAATGTGACTTCCTATCTGACGTTAGACATTTTTCCTATATATGTAGATTCATTTAGGGAATTTGAAAGCCACATTCAATATTTTCTTAAAACCATTTATGTTTTCTTCAGAAAGCTCAAGTTAAGTCACAGTAATAAACCTGCTTTGGAACTTTCCCTTTTAAAAGAAATCCTACTTACCATTCAATGCAACCTGATCATTTCAAAATAGCATCGAGCCAAAGACAGCCATTTTGACCACTAGAGTTGGCATATTTAGTCCACTTTTTATTTGAGTTGAATTTCCTAGGTCTGTTTATATTTTACTATGAAGACAGACATGAACCACAATATCGGTGTGAAAAAAATTATACTCTCACTTTAAAAATAGATTAAAAACACACAGGTATTCTCAATCTTTAGGGTTAGCGGAAGAACATTGTATTAATCTTAGGATGGCTCTACTCTATATATTGTTCAAGAACTCCAGAGGCTTGCTTGGTCTGGAAAAAGTGGGAAGAGTTTTTGGTCCAGGGCAGCTGATACTGTTACTACTTAAGTATACAGTGCTTTTTCACCATCTGTGGGGCTTTGCTTCTCCTGCTGGATTGTGGAAGTGACTGCTTCTCCTAGGGGGTCATAGAAGCCCTTGCCAGTGTTCCCAGGGGTCTGCGCTCTGTGTCTAGTTCTTTGTAGACACCACTCATAGCCATATTTCCATTGACAATGCAGCTTTAAAGCAGCACGAAGTGCCTCCCAATGTCATTGGGGAAAAGCTTTTATTTTCTAACTTCAATTCCTTCTGGAGAAATTATTTCTCTCAATAGATCATCTTACCGTACTATCTTGTTTTGAACTATTTCAAATCTTTTGTGGAAACAGGCCATACAAAATGAAACCTTAAATTTACCTAACGTTCTCACAATGCTAAGGTTTGTCAAATGGCCACTTAGATGAATAATCTTTAATAGACATAACTTTGCCCCTTTGTCTTGGTCAATATCTGCACCCATGGCATTTTGGTTTTTATTAGGAGAGGCTGTTGCTACATTGAATGACTGCCACACTTTTGGTTTTTCTTTCCTTTGATAGCAATTTAAAGATGAATTCTCCAGGTTTTAGTGCCTTATCATCTTGATGGTTTCCGGCTTTGTTACCGACTTAAGGAGAGTTCTGTTAGAATTCCTGTTTTTATTCACGGAAGAAATGCATACACTAATAAGCTGATTTGGAATTTTAATAGAGTAACAGTAATACAACCAGGCAGCTGTGATTAGATGTCAAGATATCTGTTGCATTGGGAGTCAGATCCTTAAAATGTTTTGTGCAGGGTTCAGGAAGACGAGGTGGTTTTCCCCTAACAAATCCTGTCAGGGCAGGACCCGGCTTGGAAGGCAGCATCCTCGGTCTTTCACTAGAGGGCGCTCTGCAGGCAGCTTAGTTTGGCCCATCTTTTTGTTTTCTTCCGTCTCTATATGAGAAGTCAGAAAAAAGCTCTTAACGCCTCTGCAGGGGACTGGTCCCTAAGGCCTCCCATCAGCTGTCATGTCTGGGAAGACCAGAGGAGTCAGGGTCCTCCTCTGTAACTCAGGATGTGTCGCCCCCCAGCATTCCTGGGTGCTTCGATGGATCCAGAGATGCAACAAGGGAATGCTATGCATTGGGGTTAGTCAACTTGTCCAAAATAGCACAGAGGAATTAGAGAAGGATTACTTGATTTTTGCTGATCCCATTGGAAGTGTGTCCCAGCATTGTAACCAGGCTCCAGTTTCCCGGAGAGGTGATGTTGGTGGGCTGCAGAAAGAGAGGGCTGCCGTCATTTAATGCTAGGAGAGGGAACTGAATGCACAGAACTATGCTAGCCCTCCCCCCAACCCAAGCAAAGACCCTGGAGCAATGTTTTGGAATGTCACTTGGGATGTGTGACTGGAGAAGCGGGAAGGACCGCCCCCTGATGGACTCAGGGAGCTGCTCCGACCTGGGCAGCAAACAAGGTCATGAAACAGGCAATCAGAACAGGGCAGAAATGCCAAATCCAGGCTTCTCACCAGACCCCAGGAGTCCTGCAGCCCCCAAATTGGGTGGGAAGGCTGGCACCTCTGTGCACATGAGCTCCCTCCTCCTTGTCTCCCAGTATGTCCCCTGAGCAAACAGGCTCTGTGTGGAGTTGGACAGAGGAGGTCCCCTCTACTCAGGGGGAAGGGGGAGTGCTGGGCTTTTATAATTTCTAGAACATTCCAACACTTTGACCCCTCCTACCCCCTTCGATTTCACAGAAACTGGGAAACATCCCCAGCTTGGAGTCTGCAGTTTACCCCTTTCCACTGACATCATGTGAAGTCTGTCAGTCAGTCCTCGTGACACTCAGGGGGCCTTCTGAACCCCTCACCTGAGGGAATCTACCAGTTATTCACTGGATGGAAGTGGGCAGGTTTCTATCCCAAGCCCAGACCCAGGTCCACCAGGCTAAAAATGGAGAAAGAGCAGTGAACCTTTCATTTCCTGTGAAGGTTAATCGAGGTAAGTGGATAAAAAGTGCTGACACCATTGCTTACCAAGTTGTATTCAATAAACAGAGATGTTTGTGATTATCATTGTTACTAATCTCACTCTATTGCAGCTTATTAATAAAAGGGTTTGGTGGCCTGGGAGTTGAAAAAAAAAGAAAAAAGCTCTTCTTGAATGTAAAGGCAAAATACAAAAGCTGGCACAATTCATATGGGATTTAAATTCACTCATGCTTCAGGTCATCTTTGGTATGTTTCAGATAGTAAACCAAAGGGGAAGTAGAACATGGCTTTGAGGAGGTAGAGTAGATTATGAATAGTCAATTCAATTAGCTATCTTGATAGGTGTTACCAAGTAATAGAGTAAGAAAAATGAAGCCTTCCCTGTGAGTATAAGTAAAACAATTCAGTCATTCGTTTTATCTGGGTTACAAATGTGAGTCAACAGAAGTTAAAAATGAAGATTCTCTTTGCAAACAGGGGTTACCCACACTTATCCTTTCCTCAGTAAACTATGTAGTTAGAAAACAGGACAAGAATATAGGATTTAGCATGAGAACAGCTTGGATGAATTATAATGACTTTGAAAACCTTACTAAAATATTTTCTGACTTCCCTGTGTTTACATTTGTAACATAAATATTATTAAAACGTGTTTTACCCTTGATTCCCGGGGTTTGTAAGAGAAAAGAAAGAGGAAGAACAAAAAAATAAAACCAATGGCTAGAACCAGCTAGGAAGTAGTAATAATTTTCCTGTGTCACTTTGATACAGAACAAAAACCAAATGAAATACCTTGTTGTGCAAAACTATACTTAATTGGCTTATAATTAGAAGAAGCCAAAACCTTCTCCTTTTGGAGTTGAGTAAAAGTCCTACATAGTAGAGTACTTGCAAACTTAAGCGTAAATTGAAACATTTACCTGGTTTTGAGTATTTAAAATGCCTGAGGGCAAGCTTGGGAAAATGTGATTTTCAGGTACATTTCACAACAGGGAAGAGGCTATTTGCATAGCTATGTCCATCCATTTGTCTGCATATTTGAAAGCCTGTGCTCTGGGTGCCAAAGGCAAAATGAATAAGGCCCAGGTCTGGGTCCCCAAGGCCTGGGCCAGAGGAGGACCAAGGGAGGGGCCACCCTGGCCCAGACAAGCCACTGCCGCTGTCTGTCTCATATTCATACGAAACATGGTTCACTTTTCTATCATTGTCCGTTGTTTCTGGACCTCGCACAGGTTTTTGAGCTCTAACTTTAATACAGAAACAAATGCGTGCTTTTCTCAGGGGAGGTAAAATTGAGATTGCATTTAAAATCAGGAATTTAGCAATGAATGAACATGGGGCTTTATCACTGAAATGCATTTTCATCCTTAATTCCAAATGTCGCCTTTGCTTTCTCATGCACCATAGGCACAGAAAACAAAAACTATACCTTTGCTAAACTGCAGTATTTTAAGATAATACTTTCCTTGATCTCTGTAAGGCTTGTCAGGATCAAAGTATTTCTTGCTGTTTTCTGGCACAGGTGGGAAACCTGCCATTGGCCTATGCCTTTAAGCATGTAATAGTTCAACACAGTGATGAAAATTTTGAATCTATGTTGAGAGCCCAGTGCCTCTTATTTGGAGTGAAAAATAGAGGTTCTAGTCTTCTTCTGATAAGCATTTCTTCAACCATTTCAGTACTGCGCTAGAACCTCTGAGTCATCTTCAAGTCTATTTTCTCTCTTAATTCGTAGATCGTTTAGTCATCAAGGCTTATCCGTTTTACCTCCTAAGTGTTGCCCTTGAAATAGCCATAAGCGGTCTTTTTGACTTTTTCTTCTACTCCAACCTATTTTCCACACTGTGTTGTTTTTTAAAAAAAACAGAATCTCTCTGCGAACATTCACTCATTCAAACTTCCAGAAGGACACCCAGGAAGTGAACAGGAACAAAGGGACACTGACCCAGCCAACCGAATTGGGTAAATGGTCCTCCAGCTGATCTGAGCTGCTAACTCCCCTACTTTACTCCTCTGTGGTACCCTGTGGCCTGTAGACTCAAGTCCAAACTTCTTTCTCGCTAGCACACAGGCCCTGGTCAGCCACACTCCACCCCACATGCTTTCTTAGTCCCTACAACTTTTCTTCCCCTCTTTCCACCTTTTCTGCCTCCTTTTTTCTCTACCCTGTTCATTTTCCTTATGAACTGGACACTCAACCACTCTCTCTTCCCGAGGAGCCCCTTCTCTTCCGCCTGCCCCCTCAGCCTGGAACACTATCCTCCTTTTCCATCTTGGTTTCCTGCTCACCCTCCAAAGGCCCAGCTCAAACGTCCCTCCTCAATCACCTTCCCAGGGCTGGTAGCCCCCTTCCCCGGGACCCTCCTGATGTAACGAGGAGAGCTATTCCCCACTGCTTTGTCATTCTTTGTTCTCATCTCCACCCTCTCAACTAAACTGAACTCTGACTGACACAGAGTCGATGCTTTTTATCTTTGTGCCCAAGTGCCTAGTGCAGGGGCTGACACATCCTAACTGTTGATAAATGTTTGTTGATTGAATAAATGAAAGAACGTCACCCTCTAGCTAGTGTTACACCTTTTTCATTTTGCTCCAGGCACTTTAATTCTGGGCTTTAGCCAAGAGCATCAGTTTGGCTGAATGGAATGAGCTCGGTTAATTGCTATAAAGTTTATTCCTTTACTAGCCTGTAAATGACCATCCAGGTATTTACCCATTCTTTCATTTCACAAATGCTGCGGAACATTTTCTATTGTCAGGTGTTTTGTCAGTGGATGAGAATAAAAGATGTCCAGGCCAGATACCTCATTAACTTCATCCTGGATTCCTCTGAGGAAGGCAAATGAAGACTAAGCAGAACAAATTTGTCTCCTACACATTTCTTCTGGCAGGTTCTTTTCTGGGCTAATCTTTCAATTCCAGCAAAAGCTTGAGTGAGTTGAGAGCAAGACTAGTTGACATATTGATCTGGTTATAAATGGTCCTGAAAGGTCCCTCTTGGCTTTGGTTAATGTCTGGGCTCCGGCATCCCTGCAAGGCTGAATTATTTCTAGGTCAGCCATTTCTTCTTGGTTCTTTTCTCCAAGTGAATGCTTAAAAACTCAGATAAGAAGTGTTTTCTAGGTAACGCAAAGGTGGAAAGTGAATAGTTTTGGTTGAGTTTCAAATGTATTGTTCTTTTTAGGAGGACGGGAGGGCACTGACTTATTCGCTGGTGCTCTGGTTTATTTGTTATGTTGTTAATCAAATGCCCACTCCCTTTTCTGTTCCTCTCTTCTCAGCCTTCAGGAAAGTGCTGGCATCTGAGTTAAGTGGAAGGGGGGAGTGACTTTCATGAGGTGGCAGGATGCCAACATTCCTTTGCCTTCTGCTGTCTTATGAGTGGTGCCAAGTCATCTGGTGGCTACTTGTTGCCGAGGAAAGAGTTATTAATTACTCCCTGACAATTCGCTCAAGGATTTCTCAAACCATTGACTTAAAGTAGCTATGGTGAAGGTATTAGAATGACAAAACACAAGGGCACTTAGTGGAATGACTATTCTACAAAGGGAAAGTTTTGCACAGGTCTTCTTTTCCTTATTTTCACACCATCCCCCCTTGTGTCTCCTGAAAGGAGGGAGGATGAATGTACAGGGAAGCAAAGCTAAGACAAATGATGACGTCTCTTCCCAACCTCCGAGTGATCTTGTTGTACAGCGATGAGTATAAACAGTGTGGGCTCTGGGATGGGAGAGAAAAATGCTGACAGAGCACTTGCTTTGACTGGATTTATAACATTATAGGAAGAAACTTCAAGCGACAGGGAGAGACGGGAAGAGGTGAGGTAATTTGGGGTGATGGCTGCTTAGTGGTCATAATTCAACAGCTTTGTTTGACCCACTCCGTGACCTGACCTTCCCCAGTACTCTTGTTGGACAGCCTCAGAGAATAAATTCCTCCTTCATCCACCTCGCAGGCCCGGCAGTGGTAGCAGGAACAGAGCACCTCCGCACAGAACTGATAAGTTCACTTCCAGGGGCGACAGGGTAATTCGTTCGGCCTGCTCACTCCATCACTGACCTTCCTGTTCCACTGCTGTCTAGGGTACCAGTTAGTGCTAATTGCTGCCGATAGTGGTGAAAGATTCTGTGACAAGTGTCTGCTAAGAAGAGGGCTAAGACCCCTAACTCATTTCATGTAGAGTATTCCCATGAGAGGAGGTTCTTTGGGATAAGATAGCAAGAAGGCTGAGCTGGGAGAAAGAAGTCTTTACCAAGAGTGCAGTGCTTTTCAACAGACCTGTCTTATTTTCATCCACTAACAGATACTGAAAATCACATGTTAATTAATTTTCCCACAAAGAGGAATTTTACTACTTCTTTTCCAGATCTCGCTTTGATGTGGGAAGACCCAAAAGCATCCCCAAAGTAAGAGTCAACTAGTCATGTCTGGAGTAAAAATTCATTGCTCCAGCTCCGCCTAGCAAAGCAGCAGGAGCTCTTTATGCCCAGGGAGATAAATTTTTAACAGACTTGCTATAATGTGTCAAAGTTTCCTGAATAAAGTTGAGTGAGTAAGCATCGCTTTTAAAATCTTTCAATTTGATGGACAAGAAAATATCAGTGTAGCAAAGTAGGTCTCCTTATATCATTGCAATTAGCCACATTATTGCAAGTGGAAAAATACTCTCAAAAGGGGATTGGTGGCCCTGGTGTAATATTTTTAAATGAATGTAAAAAGAGCTGCTTTGTATTAGCCAGGAGAAAGTTGAGAGTTTTCTGATTTGACCGTTACACCGCTGAAAAGGGCAGTTCGTTTCATATATATATTTTAGCCAGAACTAGCTTTAACAATTGCCAACTGCCAGTTATAAATAGCTTTCCTCTTTGAAACAAAGCTTCATCTTTCAAACTGCTACTATCTTAAGCAAAGAAAAAAAAATATCATGAACTTCTTTCGGCACATACCAGCTGTTCCAGATGTTATGATTACACATGTGGACCACGTTCTGAACTAAAAATACATACAGGAGATTGACTTCGAACCTTTTTAGTAAAGCAACATCATAAATTATCTTGGTTACCCCTTAGTTATGTTCTAGAAGTGTTTGTAAGTGGTTTGTAAGGGGAGGAATAACTTCAGGCTCATTTTGTCCCCCCCATGAAACCTACTATGATTAATACTAAATTTCACTAATAAAATTATAGCCTTATAAGATTATGACATTAGAGCCTAGTCCAGACTTTGTTTTACTTACAGTGAAAAATAATAAAAGATCCTATTGCTCTCTATTTGTAAAAAAAAAAAAAAGAAAGAAAGAAAATAACTAAATTGAATAACAGATGTTTTTAAATGTAGGACTGGAAAGAGTTTGATTTGAGAAGTTAGAAGACTTTGGGGGATTTTTCTGGGAAGATGTGGGTGTTTTCAGAGGCTACAGGATCAAACAGTTCCGAATCTGGTCACCAGATGGCCTTATGAGACCAGAGCTTTGTGTGTGGACACTGGTGGTGATGGTAAAGTAGTGGTGGCAGTGACAGCAGTTTCAGGGTAGATTGGGGGTCAGGAAAAAAGGATGCAACTGCCCAGCTTTCATTTTTTTGTTGTTGTTTGTTTTTTTGTTTTGTTTTGTTTTGTTGCATCTGCTCAAACAGTTCTCCATCTCAAGCATCAATCGGTATGTGGTATTTTGGAAATGGAACTCAGATGATATTTTCTTGTTCAAAACTCTCCAATGGCTTCCCAGCACTGGTGACATAAACTCCGGATTCCTTACCCTGGTTTACAGAGCCCTGCATAATATGGCCCATGTCTACTTCCCTGACCTTGTCTTAGACCATCGTCCCCTAATGTGGCTGCATTCTAGACACACTAGCCTTTGTGATTTTTGAAAGAGCAAAGCCTGCTCCCTAAAAGCCTTTGCATTCATTGTCGCATTTGCCTGGATGCTTTGATTTGTCTTTTCAAATGGCTGGTCCTCTCTTATCCTTCAGATCTCAGCTCAGTGTTACTATAGCGTAAGTCCATTCAGATCTAAAGTATTAACCCAACTACTTCCCAGTGCATCACTTTAGTTTAATTCTCTGACTAAGCCTTAATCATTATCTATTTCCTTCCTTCCTCCCCTTTTGCTTCCTATGTATCTATCTATCAATCAATTATCTAATAAATGCTCTATCTAGTGTCAGATCCTCCCCACTGGAATGCAAACCCCATGGGAGCAGGCGCTTTGTATCATTCATTGTCATTTATCGCATCACTAGAACAGTGGTCGTTCTTGTATAGAGAATGAATGAATGAATGTTTGAGGTATTTATAAGTTAGGCATTTGTAGCCCGAGGAGTACTAGTATTTGGATAATTCTTTATAGCAAGGTTTGCCATAACTGATTTAACTTTCAGTTTTTTCATCTACTTTTTTGTTTTTTTCATCAGATGTTCACTGAGCACCAACAAGTAGCAGGCATTGTGGTAGGTACTAGAGAGAATCCAGAGCTGAGCACTGGTAACAGAAGTGATGTTTTTAGAGCTGAGTCTCTATGCTAAGGGCTATGGACATATGACCTCATTTAACACTTGCAGCAATACTCCGAAACAGGAATTAGTCCCTAATTCCATTTTACAGACTAGGAAACTGAATTTAGTTAGGTAATTTACCCAAGATTTCATGCCTATTCAGTTGTGGAACTGAGACTCAAAGCTGGTAGAAAACAGTTCTTCCTGAAGGAGTCAGCAAGGAAGACAAACAACGGGCTTCGGCTCCAAGCAGGCCAGATACTTCTGATAGAAGTATCAGACAGTGACTACAGCACAATTAAATGCATAAGTTATCAAAATGAGAACAAGACTATCAGAGTAGCCCAGATGTATCTGACAGAGAACAAAATAGAATTTCTAGAAATTAAAAAAAAAAGATTTTGAAATAAAATTCTCAGAGGGTAAGATAAAGTCCAGATAGAGCTACAGTTTTAGTGAACAGATGAAGAGAGAATTAGTGAACTGGAAGATTGATCTAAAAAAAATTGTCAAGAATACAGTACAGAAAGATTGAGATAGAAATATAACAAAGAGAAGTTTAGAGATGTGGACAATAGAATTAGAAGGTCCAACATATTTCTAGTAGAAGTTCCAGAGTGAAAGAAGAGAAGGAGGGGAAAGCGAAATACTGGAAGACTTAGTGACTGAAGCTTTGAAAAAATTGATTATAGGCATATGTCTTCAGATTAGGAAATTCAGTGTATCCTGAGTTGAATAAATAAGCCCACACCTAAACACATCCTGATGAAACTTCAAAACACCGAAGGCACACAGATCTTAAAAGCAACCAGAGAAAAAGATATAGCTCAGCTACAAAAGAATAACTGTTAAACTAACATAAAACTTATCGTCAGCAAAAATAGATGCTAGAATGTAATGGAATAATATTTTCAAAGTGCCAAGGGAAAGCAATAGTTAGTAAAAATTCTATACTCAGTTAAACTATATCTCAAGAGGCAGGGCAAAATAAAGAGGTTTAGAGATAAAGAAAGCCTGAGTAGTTTTCCACCAACAAAACTCCTGATTAAAAACATCAGTATAAATTTACTTTGGGAAAAAGAAGATTGAACCCAGAAGAAAGGCATGAGATGTAAGAAAGAACGGCAATCATGTGGGTAAGTAGGAGGAGGACAAGAAAAATAGCCATGAATTTGAAGGGTGGTAAAGTCAGGATGCATAGTTGTGTAAGATGGGAAGGGGGTGTCTGAACTTAAATTATTCTAAGATCATCTAAGGTTAGATATACTGATTATCTTTGGACCTTAATTATGCATTTGATTATGCTAAGGTAAATCCTGAAATTTCAGGGTGATTGTCCTTGTAGTGATGACTCAGCAATCCAGGTTTCTTCCAGTCTGGGACACCACTGCCTTTAGCCACGTGTCATTCAACTGGTGGTTGAATGACAGGATTTGCTGCTTAACTGAATATGGGGGTTGAAGGAGGGGGAAGTGGAATGGAAAGTGATGAAAGCCCAGGTGGACAGGGATGCTATGGATGGTGAGAATGAAAAGGAGAGAGGAGGGAGTTTGGGCTGAGGGGAGGGTGGTGAGTTCCAATGGGCTCTCTTGAATTGAAAGTGCGTTTCCAGTAGGAGGCTGAACTTCAGCTCCCTGTGCTTGTTTCCTGTGAGTAATATTCTGGAGCATCTGGCGTTCCATATATACTGGTTCAATAATAACATTGCTGCAGATTCACCCATGTTTAATAGATATTTGTTCGTGGAAATGCTACTTGATCAGTCAGATATTATTTAGTGGACTTATGTTGAGGCAGCTAATTTTAGAATGCACTATTTACTATTAATTGATTAGAGCACTTCAGTAGTAATAGCCTTTCCTTTCAAGTGGATTATAGAAATATCTATCAATTCCCTAAAGGTGATCTATATCTTGGATCAGACATAATAATAATAGCCACTTGAGAGCTTCTGAACTCTTGCACATATGTTCTCTATGGTGACCTTCACAGCCATGCCAGCAGGTAGATAGGGTACGATTTTATTATTGTACCCACTTTGCAGATGAGGAAATTGAAGATCAAGTCACATGATTGTATTCTCCTGTTGGTTTTACAATTCAGCTTTTGCAGGGTGGCTTGTACAATTCAGCTTTTGCAGGGTGGACAGGTTGACATGAAAGAATAACCATTCTTTGGTGCTTAATGCAGAGTGCTTTGTTCCCTGTCTTATCTCATCCTGGGCTTGTTGTTTTAAGGTCTCTATTTCTATGGCGAAGTTTTGAGCTGGGAGCCCTTGGATAGGCTACATGTGTGCAGATATTTTTGTGCTTGTTTTCTGTTTACTCTTTTTCTATGCTTTTTAACTTACTTTCTGCCATCCAGGGAGCCTTTCTGTTCTGTCGTGGGTGAAAAATACAAAATACAATTCCCAAGTGGATTCTGTTCTTTGGGTTGAACTTTGACCAGCGTGTGCAATTTTCTGGGGAGGGGGTCCACAGCTTTCATTGGTTCTTGGAAGAATCCAGAACCTAGCAACATTAAGAACCACTGTACAGAGGGGAGGGGATAGTAGTAGAAAAAATGTTTCAAGAAATTATTAGATTTCTCTTTTGCATTTCTACTCTTCCTTTGTGGTTCTCCATTTTTCTCTGTAGAGACCCTGAGGTCAGTTAAGGAGCGATTTATGACTTGGTGAAAGAGCAGAAGGAGGAGAAGTTTCCACTGTTTTATTCTTTTTGTTTGGGAGCAAATACCTGGGTACTAAGTTTTTCTATGGTCTACCAAAGGGATAATGCCCCTAAATATGCCTACTATTTTTTTTTTTTTTTTTTTTGCGGTACGCGGGCCTCTCACTGTTGTGGCCTCTCCCATTGCGGAGCACAGGCTCCAGACGCGCAGGCTCAGCGGCCATGGCTCACGGGCCCAGCTGCTCATGGACATATACACACTAACAAACGTAGTAAGGTAGATAGCTAGTGGGAAGCAGCTGCATGGCACAGGGATATTGGCTCGGTGCTTTGTGACAGCCTGGAGGGGTGGGATAGGGAGGGTGGGAGGGAGGGAGACACAAGAGGGAAGACATATGGGAACATAAGTTTATGTATGACTGATTCACTTTGTTATAAAGCAGAAACTAACACACCATTGTAAAGCAATTATACCCCAATAAAGATGTTAAAAAAAAATATTTACATCATAGATGCAAAGACAGAAGTTACTTGTGTAATAAATGGTGAGACCAAAAAAAAAAATAAATAAAGTATAGTTGATTTATAATATTATGTTAGTTTCAGTTGCACAGCATAGTGATTTAGTATTTTTGCAGATTATACTCCATTAAAAGTTATTACAAGATAACAGCTATAATTCCCTGTGCTGTACAATATATCCTTATTGATTATTAAATTTATTTATTAAATTTTGTTTTAAATTTACAAATATTTATTGAATAGCCATAACAGACAAAGAATAGTGGCTAAGAGGATTAAGCCCAGAATGAAAGAATGCTTGTGGAAAAGGAAAAAGACGTCAAGAGTTATTTCTAAATTAACCTCCTCAGAGCAAGAAGATGTGAGAAGAGTGATCACTGCTTGGGAAGATAACAAAAATTATAAGAAGGGAGAAGGCGGAACTACTATACTACCATTGCTTACCTGGAAAGATCAGAACAGACCTCACAGGTGAGAAGATAGTAAGATTATTTATTTATTTGTTTATTTATTTATTTAACATCTTTATTGGAGTATAATTGCTTTACAATGGTGTGTTAGTTTCTGCTTTATAACAAAGTGAATCAGCTGTACATATAAGTATATCCCCATATCTCCTCCCTCTTGCGTCTCCCTCCTACCCTCCCTATCTCACCCCTCTAGGTGGTCACAAAAGCACCAAGCTGATCTCCCTGTGCTATTCGGCTGCTTCCCACTAGCTATCTATTTTACATTTGGTAGTGTGTATATGTCCATGCCACTCCCTCACTTCGTCCCAGCTTACCCTTTCCCCTCCCTGTGTCCTCAAGTCCATTCTCTACGTCTGCATCTTTATTCCTGTCCTGCCCCTAGGTTCTTCAGAACCTTTTTCTTTTCTTTTTTTTCTTAGATTCCATATATATGTGTTAGCATATGGTATTTGTTCTTCTCTTTCTGACTTACTTCACTCTGTATGACAGTCTCTAGGTCCATCCACCTCGCTACAAATAACTCAGTTTCATTTCTTTTTATGGCTGAATAATATTCCATTGTATATATGTGCCACATCTTCTTTATCCATTCATCTGTTGATGGACACTTAGGTTGCTTCCATGTCCTGGCTATTGTAAATAGAGCTGCAGTGAACACTGTGGTACATGACTCTTTTTGAATTATGGTTTTCTCAGGGTATATGCCCAGTAGTGGGAATGCTGTGTCGTATGGAGGTTCTATTTTTAGTGTTTTGAGGAAACTCCATACTGTTCTCCATAGTGGCTGTATCAATTTACATTCCCACCAACAGTGCAAGAGGGTACCCTTTTCTCTACACCCTCTCCAGCATTCATTGTTTGTAGATTTTTTGATGATGGCCATTCTGACCGGTGTGAGGTGATACTTCATTGTAGTTTTGAACTGCATTTCTCTAATGATTAGTGATGTTGAGCATCCTTTCATGTGCTTGTTGACAATCTGTATATCTTCTCTGGAGAAATATCTATTTAGGTCTTCTGCCCGTTTTTGGATTGGGGTTTTGTTTCTTTGATATTGAGCTGTATGAGCTGCTTGTATATTTTGGAGATTAATCCTTTGTCAGTTGCTTCATTTGCAAATATTTTCTCCCATTCTGAGGGATTTTTTTGTCTTGTTTATGGTTTCCTTTGCTGTGCAAAAGCTTTGAAGTTTCATTAGGTCCCATTTGTTTATTTTTGTTTTTATTTCCATTTCTCTAGGAGGTGGGTCAAGAAGGATCTTGCTGTGATTTATGTCATAGAGTGTCCTGCTTATGTTTTCCTCTAAGAGTTTTATAATTTTGGCCTTACATTTAGGTCTTTAATCCATTTTGACTTTATTTTTGTGTATGGTGTTAGGGAGTGTTCTAATTTCATTCTTTTACATGTAGCTGTCCAGCTTTCCCAGCACCACTTATTGAAGAGGCTGTCTTTTCTCCATTGTATATTCTTGCCTCCTTTATCAAAGATAAGGTGACCATATGTACATGGGTTTATCTCTGGGCTTTCTATCCTGTTCTATTGATCTATATTTCTGTTTTTGTGCCAGTACCATACTGTCTTGATTACTGTAGCTTTGTAGTATAGTCTGAAGTCAGGGAGCCTGATTCCTCCTGCTCTGTTTTTCTTTCTCAAGATTGCTTTGGCTTTTTGGGGTCTTTTGTGTTTCCATACAAATTGTGAATTTTTTTGTTCTAGTTCTGTGAAAAATTCCATTGGTAGTTTGATAGGGATTGCATTGAATCTGTTGATTGCTTTGGGTAGTATAGTCATTTTCACAATGTTGATTCTTCCTTGATTATGTATTTTATACCTAGTAGTTTGTACCTGTTAATCCTACATCCCTAATTTGCCCCTCCCTGCCAGCCCTCTCCCCTTTGGTAACCACTAGTTTGTTTTCTATATTTGTGAGTTTGTTTCTGTTTTGAATATACAGTAGTTTGTATTATTTTTTAGATTTCACATATAAGTAATAACATACAGTATTTGTCTTTCTCTGACTTGTTTCACTTATATGCTATACTATTTTTGGTATCTCTGGAATGAAATACAGATTGTACAAATTCAGCTTCCAAAGGATAAAAGCAATTATAAAATTCCTTACATTTGTTCATTTCTTTATACTTTTCAAATGTCATTTACCTCCATTGGAATGAACACAGGCTAAGAAGAGTTGAAAGTGGCTTCCTGCCGCTTTATGCTTCTAGGCCTTAATTCGTTCCCTTCTCTCTATGAGAAATGTTCTCTTCTTTTATTCCACTTGCCAAACTCATTCTGGTCCTCAAGACTGATCTCAATTATCTCTCCTTAAACTTTAATAAGTTCCTGTTATTAAAGGTATAACTGTTTAATGAAAGAACAAACTCAGACCTTCCATCATACATTCCTGGGTATCACTGTCAGACACATCTGCATTTTGAGGACTTTGGGTTGCGTTTGCTTATAGATATCTTACTTTTAGGCTGTAGTATTTTATGTAGGTGACTAAATAGAACAAAGTCCCTCAGTACCTTTGTTATCTTCCACTGCATTTCATTAACAATTCCATTTTTCTGTTCTTTGCCTTCTCTCAACTTCATTTAGGATGTAAATATTTTATAAAAAAACATTCCAGATTTGTACAACAGGAAAGAAATGAATCGACCTGAATTTAGTGATGAAGATTTCTTGAGAGCCAGCATTCTGAGTTTTTCTTCAATGACCCAATTTACATCTCTTTGAAAGAGGAAAAGCAAAGAAGTCTCTTTTTCATTCTGTCTCTTTTTTTTTTTTTTTTTTTGCCTGTGCACATAATCACTATGAGTTTCTAGGCCTTTTACCTAATACCAGTGCCACAAAGGCATTTTAAGATTGAATTCCACTGACATGATTCTGACTTTCACAAGACCCCGTGGAAATGATCTGTCCATTTTATCTTCTAGAATGATTTGACTCTAGCCCTTTCACTACGGTATGATAGGAGAAGTCGAGGATGCTTTGATGGAAGCTTCCTTTTTCCTTCCATTGCTCTCAATGTGTGTCAGACCTTCCCACCTATGACTGGATGGCTGCAACTTCCTTAGGTGACCGCACCCGTGTGAGAAGGTGGGTCAGGTCCATTATGGTCACTGGAAACCCGCAGTGCTAGAGAGACAAGTTAAGGTCAGGCAAGCTGAGGTCAGCACGGGTCTCGCTGGAAAGAGAGGTGTGCTGTCCTTAGAATGAGACTGGCAAGTCTGACCTGGCATTTGGCAACTTTGTGGACCTCAAACTTGACCTCAAACTTGACAAGCAGGTGGGAGAAAACTTCAGTAGGGCTGAGTACAGCTTGAAGAATACTCAGAAAGATTAGTAGCTTTGATAAGGAGGCTCTGTAGACTGAGGCCTTTTATCCAGGGCAATTCAGACCTATTTAGTTGGCCCTGTCCCAGGTGAGGACTTGCTGATCTTAAAGGGTCCTTATCAGCTAAGCAGAACCCAGTGCCCTTAAAAGGAAAGGCTTCTCTTTATCTAGTTGTACGTCTTCAGCAAGTGAATAAAGAGAGGAGGAGTACAGAGCTTGGGATTCTCCCAGGGGTGCTTGTTCTAGGGGATGGGGTGGGATTAGCCCTGGGGAGCGGGGAGACAGTGAGACGGATGGGGGAAGTTCTTTATTTATCCCCTGCTTGGGTTTCTCCCTCTGACACCAAGTCACCAAACGGAGCTAAAGGCAGAGGTTTGGCTGAGGGCACGTTGATACTTCCTATTTTCCAGTTTTCCTCAATCCACCCTGTCCCTCCAAATCTCTTCTGCACATCATTATCAGATAAGCCTTCCTGAAATGTGGTTTTCATGATCTCAAAAGCCTTTAATGACTTCTCATTTCTGTGTGCTAAATTCCAGCTCCCTTAGGCTGACATTCAAGAACCTTTTCTATCTGGCCCCAACCACCCCAATGATCCCCGACACAGACCTTCCACCTGGTGAAGCAGGCGTGCTCTCTGTTGCTTGAATACTCCATGGCAATTCCTGTCTTTCAGATTTGTTCATCCTGCCATCACCCACTTAGAATGCCTTCCTTCCCTGCCTCCACTTTTATGGAAAATCCTAAAGATAAGGGCTCACGTCCTCCCTGGTCCCTATAGCCCCCTCACATCACTCCCGATCTCTCTCAGACTAGTTGGGTTCTTGGCATTCTTTCCATCCTGCGTAACTGAGTTTGGTGATTTATGGTGAGAGCAAATGAGTGGAAAGAAAGCAAAACATAAAGGACCATGAGGGAGAACTCTACTTTCCAGAAGTAAGTTGTCTAAACTTCCTTTTGCATCTTTGGCTTTGCACTTGTTCAAGATCCCCTGGGGATATTTTTGCACCACTGACTTTGAACAGGCTTCAGGGGCTCACGTGGCAGAACATTCTCAGGGTAGGCTTAGTGTCTGGAGTCTAGGATGTTCTCAGTGAATTGCAGCTATTGGTTTTCTTTCCAAGCATGCAGACACTCCTTATGTAATCTGGGCTCAAAGGTGTTTTCGGGACCCTTGACTCTCAGTGGGATGGCACATAGAGAGCAGAATAACTCAGAGAGAAGTTCAGACAGTCCATACTCTAATCTCTGACATTCCCAGCTTGAGAGACCCGAGACAGAAGGTCTTGGAGGTGTGGGTCAGAAGGGTGGGTTGGCTTGGTGGTAGAAAGTTCTCGAGGAAACACAAGGATATAATTTAAATCCTTAGGCATGTTTGCAGTGCACCCTCTGTATACACAGATCTCACGTGTGAAAATGAGAATTTACCAACTTTCCAAAACCTTAAGACAGACGGACTTTGGTCCAGAGAGGTCAGAATCTTCAAAATTGTTCTGAAGGCATTGTATAAATGCTTGCCTTAATGCAGCAGATGTTCTGTGGATAATATCTTCCTGCAGAGTTACATCAAATGGAAATGGAGCTGTGTATTTTCTTAGCATCTTAGGCCACGATACCCTGTGTGTTTAACTGAAAACTCTTTAAGCTATAATGGAGTATCC